ACTGGAATCGGAATGAAGCTATGTAATTAAGTATGAACACATGTGTTACATTTATGTACCAGATAACTCATAATTGTATACAGTAAAACTACGGTTATAACGAACACGCTTATAACGAACTGACGGATATAACGAACTTACTTTTTAGTCCCGACTACTTGCTGTAGTCATACTGTATATGTACTTATAACGAACTACGGTTATAACGAACTAAAAGTAGTAGTCCCTTTGAGTTCGTTATAACCGTAGTTTACTGTATTTATTATTAAATAATTATAAATGCTTACATATCTCACATCTCCTCTAAAACCACAAGGAATATATAGCCCAACTTCCCAAGGGTGATCTATGGTGTGAGATATGTCCATAGAAGTTTGAACCAATTTTAAACATTGCCGTAAAGGCAGACATATTTAAATGTAAGTTGTGACAATATTGATCCACTCGTTACATTTAATACGCAGTAAGTATGTGGTATTGCGTATTAAGTTACCCTCATATGGCGTTTGACCTTCATATGGTCGCTTCCGTGGCCAGTGTTAGAGCGTCGGACCGGAGAGCAAAAAGTCTATCTCCAGCCGCGTCATGCCAAAGACGTTAAAAAGATGGTACTTGTTGTTACCCTGTCTGGGGCTCGACATTAAGGGGCTAAAACAAGACTCGGAGTCAGTATACTGTGTCTGAGTGGGGTATTATTATGAGATCGAACTAGTACAAGCATCAACAGACACACACAAACACACACACACACACACACACACACACACACACACACGCGCGCGCGTTCCTGCAGGTCGCTATATAAGTGTAATAATCTTGAACACGACATTAATTCCATTTCACCTCACTTTGATCTTCACATATGTCAAATAGAATGTTATCCTCTCTCACACCATAATGTCAAACAATGTTGTCATTATCTAAAAGGGGGCACGGGTGGCCCAGTCGTCTATGCAGAGTTGCGTCCCTTGGGCACGCCAGAAACCTATGAGTGTGGGTTCGAATCCCGGTTCGCCACGATTATGTTTCTAGGTTTGTCAGCACCATACCCGTGCTCGTGGGTTTCACCGAAGTGGTAGACGTCTGAGACCTGCATCACTTCGGGCTTTCCTCCCACATTAAGCTGACACGCCGTGATATAACTGTAAATACTGTTAAAAGCGGCGTTAAACCCAACTCACTCACTCACTCACTCACTCACTCATTATCTAAAAACATTTTTTTGAGTTTGATATCGGTTTATAATGTGAGGATAGTTTGGATCACCTTTATAGAATAGTGACATTATGAAGGAGAGAGTTTCCACTGAGTGAGTGAGTTAAACGTTAACGTCATTTATTCATATATTTCGACAATATCTTGACGGGAACAAGTTCTACATGAATAATAAATACTGTTAAAGGTGATTGTGACTTCGTTGTGTGTCATTGTCACCACCTAATTGACGCTTAATTGAAAGTAACAATCACCTCCTAACTGATTGAAGATCGCGTATAAGACATAAGTATTAAGTCTTTCTGTACCTCGTGTCTAAATTACACGGAAAGTGGTAGGCGTCGACCAAGAGTGTGCCCGGGGAGTCCCGAGTCCCGTGGGTCTCAAGTCCCGTGGGTCCCGAATCCCCTGGGTCCCGAATCCCAGGGAGTCCCAGGTCCCGTTGGTCCCGAATCTCGTGAGTCCCAAGTCCCGTGGGTCCTGAGTCCCGTCGTTCCCGAGTCCCGTTGGTCTCACGTCCCATGGGTCCCGAGTTCCGTGGGTCCTGAGTCCCGTGGGTCCCGATTCCCGTGAGTCCCAAGTCCCGTGGGTCCTGAGTCCCGTCGCTCCCGAGTCCCGTTGGTCTCACGTCCCATGGGTCCCGAGTCCCGTGGGTCCTGAGCCCCGTGGGTCCCGATTCCCGTGAGTCCCAAGTCCCGTGGGTCCTGAGTCCCGTCGCTCCCGAGTCCCGTTGGTCTCACGTCCCATGGGTCCCGAGTTCCGTGGGTCCTGAGTCCCTCGGGTCCCGATTCCCGTGAGTCCCGCGTCCCGTGGGTCCTGAGTCCCGTCGCTCCCGAGTCCCGTTGGTCTCACGTCCCATGGGTCCCGAGTTCCGTGGGTCCCGAATCCCGTGGGTCCTGAGTCCCTCGGGTCCCGATTCCCGTGAGTCCCGCGTCCCGTCGGTCCCGAATCCCATGGGTCTCGAGCTCCGTGGGTCCCGAGGTGTGTGTTGGCCAAGAAGGTTAGGTATATGATCTGATATTATAAGGGTAACGCTATTTTTTCAGGGCATTATCATTTGCAGAAGCCCGAGGTCTTCTATTAACTGTCCGACGAAGGAGGGCAGTTGAAAAGACCGAGGGCTTCTGCAAATGATAATGCCCTGAAAAATAGCGTTACCGTTATTATGGCTAAAATGGATGGATTTTTTTATCAAATAAAAAGAAACAAGAATATCGGGTTTGAAACATTTACTGCAATCAACACGAATGTCACTGACACACGTTCACAAATATGGAAAAGCCATAGAACAAACCAGATGACGTCACTATTGAACGTGGCGTCACCTATCCTATCCTATGACGTCACCTAACAACGGGCGTGATAATGGCCCGTCGTCAAGCAATATAAGGGCATTATCAAGTTACAGTGGCCCGCTCATTTCTGATAACATGCGGGCGGTTTAGTGATAATTCTATCCATTTTAGCTATAATGTTAACTAATGGCCACATGGCCAATTCCATTCCAAGGATTTACATACCTGACTAGAACTAAAACGGACCAATAAAACATACTTCATATACATGTAGAGTGACACAAATCTGTCCCTTTATGTCGAGTCGAGCAATATTCCATAGCTTTTATGTTTTAGGAAGATCCGTGGAGGACATTTCTAAATTTGACGCATCAGTGACCAAAATGAAGTCCCCATGCAATTTCCCATTTTGACTTGTACCAAATGTTCTCGTGTTTTTCAGGTGAACACTTACATTGTATTTGCATTTGTTTGTGACGGGCGCCACACACCTTGTGTCATCACCATGTGTTAAACAGTGTACGTACATGGTCATGATATACAGTGAGTGAGTGAGTATGGTTTTACGCCGCTTTTAGCAATATTCCAGCAATATCACGGCGGGGGACACCAGAAATCGGCTTCACACATTGTACCCATGTCGGGAATCGAACCCGGGTCTTCGGCGTGACGAGCGAACGCTTTAACCACTAGGCTACCCGACCGCCCCCATGATATACAATGGATCGTACAATGGACTCTGCTATTAGTCACAATTGTGTAGGGGTAATTGTCGCTTACATTATTAAAATTATTCTCTTGCAATACAAAGTAGGCTCTGTAGACATCACAGGAACAACCACGGGAACAATGAAGCTGAGACTTCACATGCTTGTCACCACAACATGACATCCCTTGTTCCAGCAGATCACATCCGATTTTCTATATGGAATCCACAAGGGCTATTTGGAAAACCTACTTGTATTTGGCCATTATTCAGCCAGTTTTGTGATGTCATGAAATTTTGTAGCTTTTTAATCATTAGTGGGGCTCAACACGGGTTTCCTTTTTCGTACAATGTTTTATTTTGACCTCACAGTGGATAAGACAAAGGACAGGGCGTTTCTTATGCTGAATGGTGATAAACAAACACATACAAGCATATAAACAATGTTATATAATGTTGTGCAAGACTTATTGTAATCCTCGTTGCATGTTTGGAGTCTATGCCCATAGGCGACATCCCCTATGAAATTGAAATTGGCATGTGCAATTATGTCTTTATATGCCAGCTGTTAGGAACATATGCTCATTAAATTATTTATTTCCATGTATTCCTAATGGTCCTTAAGCATAACGGAATGAATGGATATAATTAGCTCAGTTTTATACATGAGTGAAATTAATGAATATAAAAGACCCTACCTCAGCCGTTTCTATAGGGTTTGAAACTGATGCAAATGACAGGATTTATTACATATATTCCAAACGTGATGAAATGGTATTGGGAATGTTTGTCCGTCATACAAAATATTTCGAGAGTTCCAGGGGCGGCCGGGTAGCCTAGTGGTTAAAGCGTTCGGTCGTCACGCCGAAGACCCGGGTTCGATTCCCGACATGGCAACAATGTGTGAAGCCCATTTCTGGTGTCCCCCGGTGTAATCGTCTAATGTCAATGCTTTATGTGAGTTGATGTAGGTTGATGGCAATGTTTTAAACATAATAAAATAACATTCACTTGGTGTGGTTTAAATAACTTCAGTTACAAATATCCCTATTTGTATGCAAGCCCTCTATTTGATAACGCAAGACGTAGAGTTCTCATCTCATATATCATAGTTCTGTTCTGTTGGAGCACCTCACTTATTATACGAGGAATGTGATCTCCTGCTACCCCTTGAGGTGATTATCGGAGAGGGCAGAGAACGGGAGAACAGCAGCAGACCAGCAACCAGAAGGTCCCGAGTTGACAACCAGAGCCACTTCGTACTTGATAAACCTTCTACCTACCTACAGAACGTGTTGTGTTACACCGATGGGCCAATAAACAAGTAGTTCACATCTTTGCATGAAGAGCGAGGATCACCATAGGAACGTAGCTGGCGATGAGTGAGAAAACCATTCCCCTTGACTGGGACGAAGAACACTTTGAGGAGATCAGGGAGGCACATTGTGTTCACAGAAAGGGCATAGCAATTTCTCAGGCTGTTGAACAATGTTCAGCCTGGAGCAGGAAGTGTAAATTTAAACCATCAACGCCAGATTATAGTCAGACTCGATTATCCGCCGAAACAAATTCCATTTGGGGAAAGAGGCAAAAAAAGCCGTGAAAGTTATATGAATGGATCACTGAAAATATTGCTTGACCCTGCTATAAAGTTTCATCCTTTGGCCTATTTGTGTATTCTTTTTACGTTTTTTTCTAATAAATCTATTGTTGGATACATTCCAGTAAAAGCAGTTGAGCTACCGAGCCTTTTCATTGAATTCTATCAAGCAGATGTATTTCAGGATCTTTGTCCAGGGCGGTACAACGGCCCTATGATAGCAGGCAAGGTAGTTGCTGATTACTTTGAAGGCGACAGGGAGAAGAAGAAGATTATGGACATCGCTGCAGGAACTGGCTTCGTAGCTGAACAAGTAAGGTCATTGTATCTGAGTAGATAATTCAGCAGCCCAATGTAAATGGGGAACGATTTAAGGTTTTGTCAGAATTTGACCAACGCCGCACTGGTTTTGAAATCATGTCGTGTTCAGGGCCATTTCAAGGATGAAATATAAAATATATTTTTTTATAGCCCTGAGGAATTTTTGTTTGGCGACATTGATCAGTCCTGTCTTGGTCATCGCCTGAAAAGTTCGTTTAAATACTAGTAATAACTCATCATCAAGAAGCATATACTCAAGGTCAATGAAACATGTTACATGTCATCCCAGTGAAGGTGATCGTAAATACGTTTGGCATTTTCACTTTTTATTTTGAATCATATTGTATTGTCCGAATGTACAGTGACACACTGGCCCTCATAGCATGGTAACGTCTTCCAGGATAAGCCTCTGAAGGTTGTTTTAGTGGCCACGCTGACAAAGAAGTGGAATAGGACATACTGTCTCGCCTTTGTTACAGCTGAAGACCCATGGTTTTTTTCACATTGACGCACTGGAACCTTCCAGCAAGATGCTGCTGAGAGCGAAGGAGAAGGGCCTGTACGAGGACTATTATACTGAGTATCTGTGCGAGGTCCCACTGCCTATCCCCAATGGTAAACCAGTCAACATATGAATAGACAATGAAAATCTGATAGACTGTGTTCGTACCGAAGATTTTCCAACCTTGTGCCATCTGTTGTGTTTAGTGTCCTTTCAAGATTGGGAACTTCATCACGTGGTATTTTGAAATCGGCAGTGTTTCTATTAAATTAAACATAATTATTATCATTTTATTACTTTTAAAACGTCTTGGAGAGTTGGAGATGAATGCTTTTGATTGTATTTATTTGACTCCTAGTGTTATTGTTGTATTTAAGTGTGATTAGGCTTCATGACCTCACATTACCAGACACTGGTAAACAATGGTTATGATTACTATTTGGTGTTTACGTTCAATGGGATCTGAATAATCAGCCTTCAAACATTGCAGATACATACGACTGTGCCGTCACCAGCGGGGGGATGGGGGAAGGACACATTCCGTGTTCCGGAATTCCTGAGTTGATCCGGATCGTTAAACCAGGTAATTAAGTACCAGATGATGTGCTTGATCTCTGTTTAAACTATTCTTGGTCTGGTCATGTTTAGCATACGTACATGTTAGGAATATTGATAAATCCAGATTGGCTTGTGTTTCTGTCAGATTGAGATTTTAGATTTATTGGTGCAGATAGTAGGTCATCATAGATTCAATAATTTGGTCGCAATCGTCGTATTCCAGTAATAAGGTATCATCAACTGTTTCGAACTCTCGGTCTGCCTTACAAGACCTAGTCTGAGGTGTGTGATGACTTTTCGGGTTTCTTTAATTCAAAGTGAAAACTCGGTTTTTCTGTTAACAATGTTTCACTATGTGGCTCCAGTAGCAAACAGTGTAACTGCCAGAGATCCTATGATCATGAGTGTGTATGATGGACCTACTTGTGGACGTGTTATGGTTTAACACGTATGCCAAGTGAAGTAGAATGGCATTTTTCATCTTGGAGGACTTCATGGGGTTAGGGAAATTCCAGTAACCAGGGAAGTATCATACCCTTAATTACCTAATTCCCTTAATGCATTTCCGTAGATTTCTAAACAGCTATGAAAAGTGTAAATTGCAAATGACTTTTTGTTTTCCAGGCGGAATTATATGCATAGTAATGCGTGAAGTGTTCCTGAGAGACGTAGAGGAATACAAAGATCGCCTGGAGCCACTCATGGACTCTCTAGAAAAGGAGGGGAAATGGAAAAAAGTGTCTAGAGTTATTGTTTCCAGTTATTTTTTAAACATTCCCGGCGTAGTATTTCTCTACAGAATTATTTGATCTCATGAAAACTCGTTTCACGTCCACCACAATGTGGAAGATACACAGTTACAGATGAACTAGGGTTTATAGAAATGTAATCGTAGAGTTTCAATAAAAACAATATGTTATCAAGTATATTGTAAACACAAACAAGGGGATTTAATAAACAATAATTCATTCACCATGTACAAGGATTGTCTTCTTTATATGTCCTAGTGTCATGACTCACGTGTGTGGGGTGCGAGGCATATGAGTGAGTTGGGTTTTAACGCCGCTTTTAACAGTATTCCAGTTATATCACAGCGTGTCAGCTTAAAGGGGCACTGATCTAAAGCAATTCCCCGGGACTTGTTGCCTTTTTTTATTGTTTTTTTCCAGTGAGTACCCGGATGAAGAGCAGAAATCTAGACTAGTTCGCGACCTCTGCTGCGCCATTCGTAAGCGCATTAGTCATTTTTATGGGTAGTAATAAGGGCGTATGGTCACATTGATCAACAAAATGAAATACAGTTTTCGAGATAATAAGGAAATGTAGGTATCTTTGTGGGTAGCATCGGTAATGATGACGAAGTTTTGATATGTCACTTGCTTGGTAATTTTGCGGTTTTCGTTTACACTATTTTGACTTGCAACACAAAGTAAATATTTCACCTGAGCATTGCTTTTTTTATAGTGTGTATATCTCTTTACTGTCAAAATGTGTAACATTTTCAAATTTATTAAACGCCTAAATATTCAGTTATTTTACAAAGTGACTGAAAAACATTTCCATCTGTATTATTATGATAACGAATTCCAAACATTATGGTATGTATACCTATTTCATCGACTTCAACACCAGTTTCAAACATTTCTGCCTGTAAGAGGGTGAACATGGCAGACTAAGTGAGCACCACTCACAGCGTACCTTACATACTCGTTTGGGTTGTTTCTGTTATCAGCTGTGCTCTGTCTCTACGCCTTACAAATAATCACAAAGGAAATACAGCCTGTAACCATACTAACATTGACTAACATTCATTTGCTTCGGTTTAGAAATACTACATAAAACACATCAACGTGTATTCATATTTAATTTAATTTTGAAAAGTACTACTATATCACAGCTGCCTGTAATTAATTGAGTCTGGGTCAGGTAAAACAGCGATTGACATTATGAGCAGAGTACAAAGAGCACAATCACCCAAGTCATGAGCACTGGGGACCCATTCAGTATTCTAAGCCAGATTTCCAGTCATGTGGCGAAAACATTTTAGGTTCCTCCTTAAATATGATGATGAAATATAGATGTTATCTTTTTGTTTTTATAGAAATTTAATTTAGACATCTTTATTGTCAGGGTTGTTAGTTTATAGTTCAGGGAGCAGTTTAAAAGTTTGAAAGATATATCGTCATTCCTTAAATTTGAGGATGTGGGGTCAACAGATCTGTAAGTTTTCCATCAAATGAAATCAACTTTTCATGGATTATACTGCTATGATCATCATATATACTCAGTCAAATTAAAAACTTCACATTTTTAAAAGTAATCCCATATATGATATACGATGGACAAATGTATCAGAGAAGGTAATTTTTAATCATTAATGTCCAAAGAAGGATTTTAATTAACGGTGGTCGATCTTGCAAATTCTGTGGTTGGTTCTGGAGAGTGCGCAGACTTCTGCCAAGAGCATCCCAGAGGTGTTCAATGGGATTGAGGTCGGGAGACCTTGACGGCCAGTCCATGACGTTGACTCCCGCATTCATAAGGAAATTCCTTGTCAAAATTGCTGTGTGGGGTCTGGCCATGTATGTGTTGGAAGATCAAACCAGGTCCATGTGCTGCCATAAAAGGCAGAAGTTCTGGTGCCAGTACCTGGTTGCGGTAAGCAGCAGCGTTGAGGTTGCCACGGATGACAAGAAGCCTGGAACGTGCATTGCCACAGAAAGCACCCCACACCATGACACTTCCGCCTCGAAATCTGTCAACTTACTGTACACAACACTGGGCATAACGTTCATGACGGCGCCTCCACACCCTCGCCCTACCATCAGTAAATCGAAGATTAAATCGGGACTCATCACTGAAGAAGACTTGATTCCAATTCCTCTGAGTCCATCGTAAGTGTCGCTGTGCCCAAAATTGACGTTGACGTCTGTGTAATTGAGTCAGAATCGGCCCACAGTATGGCCGTCGTGCTTGAAGGTGAGCAGTTCTCAGACGGTTTCGAACAGTTTGCGCACTCAGTCTACCCCTAAACAGTTCATTTCTGGTTGATGTAGCCGTCAAAAATCGGTTACAGGATGACGTAAGACAATCTGACGATCCTCTGCATGTGACATCACACGTGGTCGACCTGGCCGAGGGCGATCAGCGGTGGTACCCGTTTGCTGTAGACGCGTCTGTAAATCATAAACAGTCCGTCGACTACAACCCATCGTCCTTGCGACTTCAGCTACGGACGTTCCCGTCTGCAACATGCCGATGGCACGTTCACGTTGCACATTTGAAAGGCGTGGCATGACAAATGGCCGTAAAGACTTTTGTTTTCTTGTGTTTTTCTTTTTTTGTTAATGACTGCTAACAAGTATGGCTGAAAACACGTGCGATATTATGGCCACGTGACCAGTTGCACGTGAAAAACCACTTTTGCCACTATAGTGCTGTGCACATGATTTTGATCGATTCACCTGCACAAAAACAGGTGTTATCTGAAGACAATACTAGGCCATTACTGTTTAAATACACAATAAGGGCCCACAATGATAACTGGTCAAAATGTTAAAATTTTAGGATTGTGAAGTTTTTAATTTGGTTCAGTATATTTACTCTGGACATTACTGTGATTAGTTCTTTTGCTCACCTGATCAGTTACAAATGGCAAAAAAAAGCAGCTTAAATTGATCAAATGCATGGATTGTCCCTTACTGCTAAAACAATTACAAAGAAAACCAACTCTTGTCTAAAAGATATGAAACTTCTTTGGCAATATATTTTTCAACAACAAATGTTACATTCCAAAAACAATTTGCATTTATTTAGCATTATGGTCTAAACTAATGGTCACATGTCAGCATTATGGTCTAAACTGATGGTCACATGTCAGCATCATGATCTAAACTGATGGTCACATGTCAGCATCATGATCTAAACTAATGGTCACATGTCAACATTATGGTCTAAACTAATGGTCACATGTCAGCATTATGGTCTAAACTTATGGTCACATGTCAGCATTATGGTCTAAACTAATGGTCACATGTCAGCATCATGGTCCAAACTGATGTTCATGTCAGCATCATGGTCTAAACTGATGGTCACATGTCAGTATTATGGTCCAAACTGATGTTCGTGTCAGCATCATGGTCTAAACTTATGGTCACATGTCAGCATCATGGTCTAAACTGATGGTCACATGTCAGCATCATGGTCTAAACTGATGGTCACATGTCAGCATCATGGTCTAAACTGATGGTAACATGTCAACTTTATGGTCTAAACTGATCATCACATGTCAGTATGATGGTCTTACCTGATAATCACGTCAATCTAATGGCTTAAACTGATAATCACATGTCAGTCTAATGGTCAAAACTAATAATCACATATCAGTCCAATGGCTTAAACTGATGGTTGAAAGTCACAGGTCTATTCAGAAGACTGTAGATGTGCCCATGATGTACCAGTACTGAGAGACACTCGGATCCGAACATTGAGTTTAGTCATGTCTCCACACAGACCTCCGCTGTCTTCCATGACATCTTTCACAATACCTGAAACACATCACATGAAATAACACATATGGCAATACTATAGTTACAATGACAGAAGTATGAAATCTACCGAACCAATAATTTTAAGTTATAGGCATAAAAAGAAGTATTTTGAATGCTTTTTCAATGTCCACCATTCAGGACAGAGAAAAATCCCTGGACTATGTATGAAGATTTTGACATGTACAGTAAGCAAGTGGCAGAACATCCTCAATTATCCAGTGTTCTAATACATTATATCCTGTACCTATTCTTTAACCTTGCTTCAGATTGTTTTCTGATTTGAATTCTACATCACTAAAATCTTCCCATCTCTAATATAACAAGCGTATAGTTGACAAAGTCATCTATATCCCCCGCCCATTTTAACACGTTATGGTCCCAAACCAGGTAACTGACCCAACATTTCCCTTAGCCCATGTCAAAATAGCTGCAATGGAAATTCTAAAATAAACATTTCTAAAACTCCTTAATATCAAATGGCACTAGTTCAGTATGCGCTTTATATATAGACATGCAATGTTTGGCAAGTAAACCAATCCTATATTAAAACTTAATCCAACTTGTTGTCACGGAAACATAAACAATAAACATTTCTAAAAGTGCTATATATCAAAAGGCACCAGTAGACATGCAAAGTTTTGTAAGAAAGTATTGAACGGTTTTTGAGTTACACTCTGGAAACGAAGTCCAACTTATTGCCATGGAAACGTGAAAAATAAAAAATTCTAAAATTCCTAAATAGCAAGAGGCACCAGTCCAGTATGTGTCTGGTAAACATGCACAGTTTTTGTTGGAAAGTATTGAATGGGTTTTGAGTTATTCTCCGGAAACAAACTCTACCCAATAGAACCTAAGTCCAACTTGTTGCAATGGAAACGTAAAAAATAAAAATTTATAAAATTCCTAAATAGCAAAAGGCACTAGTTCAGTATGTGCCTAGTAGGCATGCAAAGTTTTGTAAGAAAGGATTTAACAGTTTTTGAGTTATGCTCCGGAAACAAACACCACCCTTATAGAACCTCAGTCCAACTTGTTGCCATGGAAATGTAAAACATAAAAATTTATAAAACTCCTAAATAGCAAAAGGCACCAGTTCAGTACGTGTCTGGTAAACATGCAAAGTTTTGTAAGAAATTATTTAACGGTTTTTGAGTTACGCTCCGGAAACGAACAGCACCCTTATAGAACCTAAGTCCAGCTTGTTGCAATGGAAACGTAAAAAAATAAAAATTTATAAAATTCCTAAATAGCAAAAGGCATCAGTTCAGTATGTGCCTAGTAGACATGCAAAGTTTTGTAAGAAAGTATTTAATGGTTTTTGAGTTACGCTCCGGAAACGAACACCACCCTTATAGAACCTAAGTCCAACTTGTTGCCATGGAAACGTAAAAAATAAAAATTTATAAAACTCCTAAATAGCAAAAGGCACCAGTTCAGCATGAGTCTGATAGACATGCAAAGTTTCATAGAGAAATATTTAACGGTTTCTGAGTTATGCTCCGGAAACGATTTCGGGACGAACACAAACACTCACGCACGCACGCACGCACGCACGCACGCATGCACACACACACAGACAGAAACCATTTCTATATCCCCCGCCAACTTCGTTGGGGCGGGGGATAATAATCTCTAATATAGTAATAATAGGCCATTTATATTGTGAATATTTACACACCTCACAGGGGCATGCTCAAAGCACTTTTATTTCCCTGGTCACTGGATCAGTTTGCACTCAACAATCAAACTCAGTTCCCTGGGGAGTATACATCCCAAGCTGCCTGTTAGGCACTAGAAGGTTTACAACTACATTGACATCTCATCCTACCAGGTACCCATCCACTGCTGGGTGAACAGAGGCATATTTCAAACAAAGTCACTTGCCCAGATAATCTGTGTGAAGTCACTGATGCAAGTTAGAATGGTGATATCACTTGGTAGGAAATAGGTCAAGGGTATTTCTCATAATAGAATGAGGATAAAATACACTGAATAATTGAGGATCGTGATCAAACATTCCCTATTTCTGTTGGTGGGAAGACAAAACTAGTAGTTATGATATAAATGAATGCTGCAGACAGTAACATTCTTCTGACCTTTGACTGTGTCTAGGTGTTCCTCCTCCACCTCATACAAAAGCTCATCGTGGATCTGGGCCAGAAGTCTGCCAAACATCAATACATAGGGACTGTCATATAACAGATGGTTCACAACCTGGCATGTGGCACTGTATGAATTAGGGTACACCAAAGTAATATTACAGCTTATACTTTTATTTGGATGGATCATGTGACGACTAAAGTGTATTCCATAAATCCACCTATTTAGTGTGACAAATAAGTTCTTTCTAGTATAAGTTCAACCTTATGAAAAAGCATAAAAAAGGTTAAAGGGATGCACTGTGTTCTGAATTAAGAAAGACAAGATATCATGCCACAGTTTGACATGGATACCCGACTCAAACACAAGACACTGACTCCAAGATGACCTGTCCTTGCATTATAACCATAATATGGAGCACCAGTCAGGGAAAAAACAAGTACCACTTTTGGTATGATGTGAGATCAAACCACCATCCTTCTTTTCTCCAGGCAGGTACTCTTTTCACTTGATCATGGAGGCAGTGCTCAAACCTCAAGGACTAAATAAATGGGATAAAAAATGAGTCCAGTGACTGTTAAATTTCCATAAATTGTTGATAGAGACATTTGCAACTAGATTAACTGATACAACATCCTTCATACCTAACTTTGGAACTCATGCCATGCTTGTTGAGATGGCTTTGGACTTGTAGCATGGCTGCCTTACACAAATCAGCAGCTGATCCTGTGTGGTGAGACAAGCAAGGTGGTCAACAGGGAGGAAATATATTGTGTAAATAGCAATGTGTAGCAGGATGGAATTCACCGTACAACTTTGTAAAGATCAATTACATATTTCAGAATCTACATCTGTTTGTATCCTCATAAAAAAAGGACATGAAGTAGGTAAAGTATTCATAAAATAGTTGGTTACAAAAACATCTCCTTCCAGACTACAAAATATTGATATAACATGTAAATATTTTTCAATGTTTTTAGAACTGTCATACCAAGTCCAAGAGAGAGATTACCCTGAACGCAGAAATTAACAGCCTGCCTCCCAGCCTGTGCCCTCAGTTGATGAGATGGGTGGTTAATGTTCGGGATAAGACGTTTCCTCTTGAAAATTGTATGTGTGAAACCTAGAAAGAACAGAAATATGATATTGCCATTGCATATATGTACACTTCCACCTTAAGGTCCTATGTTAATAGCTCAAAAAAAGATGAGAAAAGCATTTTTCAGTTTATAAAATGTTCTTAAATGTCTGCATATAAATAATAATTGATAAGGACTGACCATGTTGTTGGCAGAAATCAACACACTTCTTTGTGAAGCTGTTTACTGCAGGGAACTTTGCTGAAACCATAGGTAATCAAGCTTGATGAATAAAACAAAGAGAACTGGTACAGATGTCATTTTATCTGACCGCCATATCTATGCTCCATGCTCAGCTGTCCATTTCCATTCTAGCTCTGACCATTGATCTATATGATAATATTTAAGTATGAGGTCTTTGAAGGATTTGAATCCAACTTGCTGGGACAGACAAACAGACTAAGCATTAAGCCCCCTTTGTAGGTCTTATTCAAATTATATGTGCTTAAAAAAAACAAATAATAATTCAAAACCATTAAGATGACTCTGAGAAACCACTGAATATCTCTAATGAATAATCACACATACTCTCCTCACCATGGTCATCATCAGCATTATTATAACTAATAAATCAGTTGCTATACATACTGAGGAAACTGGTCATGATAGCCTTGGCATTGTTGGAGCTCACTTTGAGATAATCAGCCAACTTTTCTTTGCCTACAACAGAACATGGACTTCTCTTGAAGTCATATGATCCCTGAAAGAGTTTAGACTGGTGGTGAGTTTTCCAAAATGATTTCTACATTCAAAGGATTTTCACACAGTAAAATGAGGATATGAAAGGAACTCTATTCTCAAAGTGAGTGTTGGTTTTAACGCTGCTTCGAAAACAGTATTCCAATTATATCTTGGCATGTCAGCTTCATGTGGGGGGAAAGCCAGAAGTGATACAGGTCTCAGCATTTTCCACGGGTATGATGCTGACAAACCTAGAAACATAATCAGGGATTCGAACCAACAATCATAGGAATCTGGTTCAGTCTAAAAAATCCCAGCCAAAATAATAACTTAACAGTTGAAGAGCTTAGTTTGAGTATGCATTGCTGAAGATGTCATTGACAGCTGGTAATCAGGAATGCACAATCATATTTGTCTGCAGTTATCTTTATGCCGTTATTAACTATACATAAATATTCCACATGTACACTAGTATACACATCTTTACCCCTGATAAAACATCATTTACACATACTCCTTAATTACACTATGTATGACAAGAAGGTCTTTGAGCATAATCAATCCATGCCATTTTTCCAATTTTCTTGATATACTGATTATTTTTGCAAAAAAACTAGGTTTTGCTAAAAATAATGATAGCATTAAAGCATTTACTATCTAATTTCTTTTTGTAAAAAGGTCCGTAGGATGAGTAAAAAAATATTTTATTTCAAATTCTACATTTGACATTTGGCATTTTGTGAAATGTGAAGGGATGGTAAAAGTTTTTAGTTTTTACATGAGAACAAAACCAAACACTGACAGGAGTACTTGTGAAGCTGTGAATAATATTAGTCAAGGCTTCATCTTACTATATGAGTGAACATTTTAATAAGGGCAATTTGTGACTTAATATTTAGAAGTGTGATGATCAGGCTCAGTGTTGATAAAAGAAACGGGTAAGTTTCTTTTTACACTTCTCATTGATGGATGGATGTAAAGAAAGTAAAAAAACAATTTTTTAATAACTACTCAAGCACACATCTCATGAAGAGAGTTGAAGATATTTGAACATGAACAGTGAAACACGCGTACTTTAATGACTACATACTCCCTGCATAATTTCCTAGTTACCTACTTGATGAGGACAGCCTAAACTCACCTACTCCATACATGACTGAGTAGACTATTCTCTTGGTCTGTTCTCTCTCTGGTGGACTGACTTCATCAGCTGACTTGCCCAACCTACATGCAACATTGGATTGATTCAGCCTAAAAGAGTGAGTGAGTGAGTGAGTGAGTGAGTGAGTGAGTGAGTGAGTGAGTGAGTGAGTGAAAAGAGTGATTGAGTGAGTTAGGCTTTAACGCCGTTTTGAACAGTATTCCATTTATATCACAGAATGTCAGCTTCATGTGGGAGGAAAGCCAGAAGTAGTGCTTACCACTTACGAGCATGGGTATGGTGCAGACAACTAAATCATTATAATAAACATAATCAGGGCCCACCGGGATTCAAACACATGGCCATAGGTTTCTGGTGTGCCCAAGGGACGCAACTGTGCACAGCGAATTGCAGTGCCTTATACAACTGGGCCACTTGTGCCCCCTTCTCAGCCTAAGGGAACAATCATATGAATTCAGTGTTCTAGTATTACTGCATTACTTTCTAAAGACAATACTTTAATACAATTTTCAATTCATAAAGAATCATTTTCATGTTTAGGATTTTTTCACATCGTATTTGTGTATTTCAAAATATAACATATGCTGTTCAAACCATTGTGATGTGAGTTCAATAAAGATGTCATGAAGTTGGGGGTTGTTGAAGATACCCAGAAGGACTTGGTCATCAGCCAGGTGTGCTAACAGTCGTAACTCTATCTGCTGGAAATCTTGAAACAAACAGATAAGGCATTGGATAGATAACCTCGGTGCTGCTTAATAAAGTTCTGTAGAAGAGGTTCTGAAGAAATATCTTTACAATCAGTTCTCAAGAAATAATTTACTGATCAAGAATGCTCTAATCAAACTGAGTGGTGCTGTCATAAATAAAAGGCTTGGGACTAATAATCATATAGAGCACATTTTGATACACTACAAACTCACACAATTTCTATTATGTGCTTATCATGGGAGGGTCATATATCATAAATCAAGATTAGACAAAAATAATGAAATCTTGAATAAAAATAATTACTGTTGGGCAATGTTTGAAGGACAAATGAATTTCTCTACCTGCTGCCAGTAACAGGTGCCCCTCATGGCTGATGAACGGTTCTCGTGCAAAGATCTGTGTGGTTTGCTCACAAACTTTACCTGGCAGAACAATCCATACAGCATTTTATCGGCGGAACTCTTTGTACAGCTTGATGCTCTTTGTATACACAATTCTCACAAACACTGTTCTTTAAATTTCTAATACACCGGAGAGCTTCAGATTGATATGTACACGTGTGCAAATGACAGGCCAGGCATAAAAAATGTGGTGCCCAGGATCACTTGGCTCATATATGGAAGGTCATTGGTTTCTCCTGAGGTCAGTAACCAAGGACAACTGTTAATTTGAAACACTGATATCGTAAGTATATGTTTAACAGTGATTGCAAATATTCAAAAACTTTTGACTATTATTTTAAATTTAGATATCAATATATACATTGTTTATATACACAAAGTATATATTAATATCTAAATTTAGAATAATAGTCAAATGTTTTTGAATATTTGCAGTATCTATGGGGGCATATGGACCTGGACATTTTCCAGGTCTGCTGGATGACAAGAGGCAGTGGTAGGAAAATGACATAATTATCAAACTGGAGAATTAATAATAACGTACTGGAATATTTGGCCACGCTTTCTTATTTTTTATGGTACACAGACTTTTAGCTTATCAATTAGCTTGGGTAGGTTAAATTGAAGAACAAACAATTTTTTGACACTCCATATTAAATCAATTTAGATTGGTCTGTTGGGTGGGGAAAAAATTTGATTTTTCTGCCAGAGAAGGCTTTCTTCGCTTTATAAAAAGTTGAAACCAGAAGAAACTTTATACAATGCATTTCATCAATAATTTAAAATGGTAACAGCTTGATTATTGTTATCTTTTTTTAATATTTATCAAAGAAAGAGTGGTGAGAAAAACATAATGAAGAATTCTTATTGTATTCCAAATTGTGGTTTTTGGCTCATCACTCAGTTGAATGCATAAACTGAAAATATAAAAAAGTGATGCCTCACCAACAATAAAGTTGTCATGAACATCTGTGATGGTGACAGGGACCTTAGGGATGGCCTGTATGTTGGGCTGGAACGATGTGAGTCTCCCAGTGACAGCAGCTGTCTGGTCCCAGTGGGTGGACAGGTAGCCTTTCCTCACACACGATGCCATCCCATCCACATATGTAGACTTCAACTTCTGGAGCTGCCACAAGCATAAATCATCACAGGTACAATATAACATTTGCAAGGTTTTTGAAAATATTATACAGGATACTGATATTTACTTGACACTGTACCAACATCAGAGACAAGGTTACATTAGTTAAAAGATCTGTCCCAACATATGATTTTGCAGTACAAGAACAGCCATGAACCGGTCTATATGAAATGGCTCTATTGCAGTGTGTGACAAAAAATCACCTCAGTACACTATTGCTTATTGTAAGAAGCATCTACATTGGATCCGGTAGTCACTCTGTATCTTGCTTGATTGCCTGTAATTGTACCATGACAGCTAAGGATGTTGTTCATAATATAAACCAGTGGTTTGTCTGGCCAAGACATTATTATTCAAAGGCTGCTGTGATAAAGCTGGAATATTGCTGACTGAACTGTAAAACATCATGGGAATGACTCGCCTGCCTATATTCCTACACTATTGCTGGTAGAGTGTGAGTGTCCTTCAGCTGGGTCAAGGTGGCTTCAGAGGTTGACTTCTGATGTGCCACAGTGGTCTTCGCTATCCTACTCCTACCTGGTAACTTCTCATCCAGTCGCAGCTCTTCATACAGCACCTGAAGGTATGATGACTACAAATGTAAATAACACCTAACCTGGTTTGACATAAAAATATAAAACAAGATATTACACTAACAGGTTTCATAGTGAAACTAGATTTATTACCCATATGGGCTAAAATATGCAGTGCAATTACTTTTTGATATTTGCACAGTGTGCAATTAGTGATTCTCGAAGCTGATTGGTCAGTTAAACAAATGTCAATTTTCATTGGTCGACGGGACTATTTTTCTCTCACTGAGTTCATTCACAAATCCAGGGCATTCATTCACATGTTTCAGGTGCTACAATCTCACTTAATCGAGATTTATAAGACTAGAACATAGTTTCATATCAACCACATGATTTCACATTATAATGAATAAAACTTGGAACTTATAACATTAATTTCACTCGTGACATATTTTCCGTAATCACTTGTACCTCGTGGGTTATTTCTATAAGTAACTTCATGCACTATGACTGAATCAGAAAGACATACATTTACAGATTTAACAATGGAAGGTTCTAAGGGGCACATACAGGTTTTAGATTTTAAGTGTGTAAAATTCGTAAAAATGTTATTGGATAAGTCCCAAAATCTGCATGTTATCTGAGGCAGTTCAGTTAATGCCTATCAATGACTGTTGCAATAACATGTATGAACAAATGTTATATTTGGGATAACACTTTCTCAGTAAAGTACAGATTCTCATACTTTTTGAATTGAGTCCCATGCAGGATTTGAACTGACACTGCTAGAGTGCAAAAAGTACAAGAATCTGTACTTTACTAGAAAGTGTTATCCCAAATATAACATTTGTTACATTTGATCACTTTCTAAAATGGCATTGTGTGTAAATATGTACGAAAATATATAATTATCATTTACAAGCTTCTTTTCCTCTGTATCCAACAGCATCCCTTGGGTACGCCAGAAACCTATGTTTGTGGGTTGGAATCCTGGTTCGCCCCGACTATGTTTCTAGGTTTGTCAGCACAATGCCTGTGCTCGTTCGTTTCAACTAAGTGGTAAACGTCTGAGACCTGCATCACTTCGGGCTTTCCTCCCACATTAAGCTGACACACCGTGATATAACAGGAATATTGTTAAAAGCGGAGTTAAACCCAACTCACTCACTCACTCACTGAATGCCACGGAATTCCATGGCTTGGTCTAGTGTGTATTCCATACAAGACATCAAGTTGTCTGTATTCCATGTGTCAACTACCCACCTGTCTTAGCTGAGGATGGCTGTTGATACAGAAACTGTGTCCTGCTGAAGCAAAGGCTTTCTCTTCCAACTTTGTAAGCTTTTTCTATGAACAAAAGTAGGAAACATACTCAATGACACCTCAACAGCTGAATAAAATATGTATAGTTTACTACGTTACAGGAATAAGTCAGAGCTCAAGACAGAAGGGTATTTCCATCACAGAGGTATCACCATACAGTAGATCAATTAACTATTTCTTGAAGCAGATTGCATCAAAGGTACATCTGCACAAATCAATACATTGTCACATATCAAAGAGGACTGGGAACTAGTCTGCATGAAATTGACAATTTAAAAGGCATGTGACTGTCATTGGCTAAAAGCTGTCCCTGTCAAATAAACAAACATGAAATGAGGTTGAAAGGACTTCAGCAAACATGAACATGAAAACTTGGGCATTACTTAATCATCATTATTGTTAACCAAACTCAGGCATCACATTTGTAACAGGCAGTTAGGTGGACTCCCCGAATTAAAGGTCATGATATCATTGAATTTTACCTTTAGTATATTAGAAAAGGCAACAAATGTTGCTGTGTTGACTTTGAATCTCTGCATCTCGAGCTGAGCTAACAAGGGAATCAGACGTGTCTCGATGTTGCAGAATAACCCCCAAAGACCATGTGACCATAGCCGCTCTCTCATCTTGGTCATCATGTCATGGAGAAGGCTTAGATCAGCGTCCAAACTTTTTACACCATCGTGAATCACCTACATTCAAACATAACTGTGCTGTGAGAGGCAGAAAACTTATGCATAAGGTAATTAAAAGACAAGACCAGTAACATGTAAACATGTCTCTGAAAGGGGCTTCAGACCACTTCCGTTGTCTAGTGGTAGAGTGTCTGCCCGGAGACTGGAAGGTCAGGGTATTCAATCCCCGGGCTACATCGTAACAAAAGGTGTTAAAGATGGTACTTGTTGTTACCCTGCCTGGCGCTCGTCATTAAGGGGCTAAAACATGGACTGGTCAGCTCTGAGTCAGTATACTGTGTCTGAGTGGGGTATTCATGTTAAACTGCGGCATGGTATCTCAGTGGGCTTGCACTATAAATCGGCATCAGTCCGGATTAGTACAAGCATCCACACACACACACATGTGCAGGCAGGCCGTGATATAACTGGAATACTGTTAAAAGCGGCGTTAAACCCAACTCACTCACTCACTCTTTGTGTTATGATTCCATCTGTTAATCATTACAAACATTTTAATTTGACTAAAATAATGTTACACTGATAGTCTGTCGGACTCCGGACTCCTTGATGACATCTTGTAGACACCGAGATGGTTTATCAGAATTCAGTAGCCAGGAACCAACTACTGGATCCAGCAGTGTCCATGAAGAGCAATCTGTAAAAAAGTAGTCTTACAATCCAAAATACTTCTGTTAGTCCGAAGCACAAATCTCAGATTTTATTCTTTCCTTCAAATTACTTGATAATTTTCCTCAAGCATATTGACAGGTTTACATTCTTTATTTCAATCACCAACTTAATGTTATATTTGTACATGAATCATTTAAAGATATAGGATAAAGAGTCATGGCATTTAACAAAGGACTAGTGACCTATCCAAAGATATGGGCTAGTAGTTCCCACATGGTCCTTATGGCTAGTTTATGAAATACTGAGCTATCTTACACTGAAATGAAAATACACAATGTCAATCTCATATTGGTTTGAAGAACCTCCTACACACTTTCCCTGGACAGAATTATTTGTAACTTATGGTTCACCTGACCATTCAGATTTAGCATATCTTATACATTTGTACCCTGTACAGCAACTGAGATGCATTTCTGTTTGCACAATGAAGGACGAAACAGATTATTATCTTCTTCTGTATACTGACTTATTTCAATCTACTTGTCTCATACCTGATGCATGATGTGGTATGTACAGATCTAAGATGCACTTTAGTCAGGGATATACCGGTAGTACATGATGTCTGAGTTGTCTCCCTTGATGTGCTCTGCCAGGTCAATGTAATAATTGTTCCATAACAAAAAGTTAGGAGGACTGGGGAGATATTTTGAACACTTGATCGTAGCGATGATAGGAATGTGATTTTATGGGACTTTCTGTAAACTGCTGATTCAGAATATGCTTATGTCAGTGTTAGAAATTGGCACTGGTCCTATAGTCCTTGCTAAACTGCCCAAGAGTTAAAGTATCATAAGGACTAGTAGAAATTTGTCCTTTTTAAGGGTTTTGCTATATGTTATCATTATAAGGACTAGTGGACTAAAACTGTTAGTTTCTACCACTGTAATGTGCTACATATTTGGTTCATGTTTAGATAAAGATGCAATGAATTATATGTGAAATGGTGTTTGATATCACCAGTGTAGCTATCAGAATCTTATTGACCAAAGTCTCCTATCTCACACTACAGAAAACATCGACTGTGCATTCCTAAAGTGTTTCAGTATTAGATTGTAACAGTGAAATAAATATCTAAACAGACCTCCAGTGTGGTTGGTTGTTAATATTGCTGAGTGTGGCGTTAAACAACAACCAACCAACCACACTGAAGGTCTGTTTAGATATTTATTTCACTGTTACAATATAATACTGAAACACTTTGAGAATGCACAGTCGATGTTTTCTGTAATATGCGGCAAAATGGCTAAAAAATCAGACTAAGTTGTTCCTGGTATTTAGGCATGAAATATACAAACACACAATGTCGTCATACGAGTTTTAATCTCATTCGATGTGTTTGGTGAAGCACATAAACACAACTTTTCTGATTTTGAGTCAAAATTGATTATACATTTTCAAAGTGTTACAGTATATTATACCCTTCTGCCAGTTTTCTTCCAAAAGCTTGAGCAGTTCAACACATACTTGCTTTCCATTCATCACAATTTTCTCAATGTTATTATTCTCCATTATCTCTAAGATCAGATTTCTGAAAATATAAACGTTTTGAACTTTTCAATAGATATCATCAGTACTGTTTCAAACAAACATGTGGTACAATTATCTCAGTATTAAAAACAGAATAATGTAAGTGTTAACAAACACCCAAATACAATGAATAATTATGGTTGAACTTTAGGTAAACGAAACCAGCTTAAAACAAACGTGTCTACTGCAAATAAGGTCATCACAATATTTGATCATTTACGTAGTCACTTTGTCTATTCAACATACTTGAACCAGTTCAGGTAAGATGTATCGTCTGCCGTGCAGGAGAACAGAGCCACAAAAGATCCTGGATGGGACTTCACAGCAAACACTTTCACAGCTACAAACTTCACCTGAAATGGATAAGTCTTCTTGGATTTTTTGTCAGAGATAAGCCTCATATATTATTGTCTACCTAATTCATCCCACTGATGGGGATCCTTGGGTACTTGAAATTTTCTGCTATAGTAATTACTAATATGAAAAAATCATATAAACTGTATTTAACAAAAAGTCGTGACTGACATCTTAACTGAAGATTCCCTCTGTGCTTATGTGCAAGAAACTAAACATATCTGTATGATGACAAAGCAATCTTGCTGCCGACACCTTCTGTCGAGCACTTGTTTGTCTGGCCAAGACTTGATCACTTACAGGTCATGATGACCTACCTGTGATATTGCTGACTGCTGCATAAAATAACACTTACTCACTCATTCCAAACATGTATCACTACAACCAAGGAATGGCCACATTGATTTTAGGCTATAAACTAAGTTGTACAAGCGGGTCACTACAGCTAGTCCTTATTTTAAGTTATAATTGGTCACATGTATAATTATGCATCCAGGAGTACCTTCCTAAAGCTAGTAATTTCAGTTCCTATGAATATTTTAACTACTGCCTCATGTTGGGTTTGAATGACCTGTAGTTTGCCTCATGACTAGTGGTGTAATGATATGGGGATACAGTATTGTATTGTGATACAAGGCCCACGATACAATACATTGATTTATGGCCCCTGTATCACGATACATACAATACATTTCTTTATTTTCTTATATTGGTGTAAACATGTGAAAAGAAACAGAAACTGTCCAACCACCAGCTTTTGCAGATTTTCTAGTATTTCATAATTGTACATGAATAGCATATCATTCTCAGTGCCCTCTAGCCAATATGTTTCTGCCCTACAATAATATCCCATCTCTGATCTCTGAATTTTGATAACAAATGATGCAGGGTTGTGATTCACCTGCAAAATATAAGATTATCAACTCATGAAACAGAGTACTGTATGGGGATATGAATCATATCGCACACATAGCATCAGGATACATATCGTATCACGACCCCACCGTATCATTACACCTCTACTTATGACCAGAGATTAAAACCTAATTGCACGCTTCAAGTGTGGGGATCGCAAAAGATCAGATAGTTCTTTATTATCCTCAGAGAATATTGTTTTCCACCATTCCATACTTTCTCATCAAGAATTGTTATGAACACAAACCTTAAAAATACATAATAAATGTAAATGAATAATGGTTCAGACGATGATATTAACTGGTATAAAGGATTGGAGAAATATGTTTGTTCTTGTTTTTAGCAAAATTCCCCACAATTCCATGTGCATACTTTCGCTATACTTCCCAATCCTGTGGTTTCACCTTTAGCCCTGATGGCTGGAAGCATCTCATGCTAGTAGTATTGTCTGAATACACAAGACTAAGGCACACTGACTGACTGCTGCAGATGTCTTCTCTCATTCTGTTCCTAGACTGCTCTGACAAGTGTTGCACCTGAATAACACTGGCATCTCCGACTGATGTTTGGTGTTGATTTAACTGGGAAAAACAGGAACAAAAAGATAAATTCTAACTAGGAATGTCATTTAAGATTGCAACATTGATGTACTGGTATTTTTTTAATGTCAATGCTGTATTGATATATATTTATGAATATTGATACTAAAATAATAATTCACTCCTTCATACACATTTATATTCACTAACATTACCATGGTTAAGATGGACAATTACAAGACAGAAATTTCAATTTTAAACATTTAATGGATCAACTAAGTTCATATTCAGCATTGGAATTCTGTTTAGAAGAATAACACAATAGAATTTTAAAAAATTGATCTCCCAAAAGTATCTGAGTTTCAGGTAACTTGGACCAAAGAAATATTGGGGGGGGGGGGGGGGGGGGGGGTGTGTGCCATTTAAGAGCATTTTTCATGATAATTACCACATCCAAAAACTATGCAAAAGTATAATAAAGAGTGCTCTACAAGCTGCATATTTACGAAAAACATGCATTAAATAAACAGACATATACAGACAAACTAAATCCTAGCATATCAAAAATGCAATTTTTTACAACTATTAGTTAAAATGATTGCACATATTACAATTGTTGTGTATCAGTAGATACACGAAATTCACTTACAGACAGAAATATTCAGAAAAACTTGTAAGTCAAACAAACTCAAATACCGACAGATTCCAATTGAAAAGCACATTATGCCTAGTTAATGTACTTTCAACATTACCAATTGGTGATAGAACCTTTCTAACAATGCTAGGTTTTGCAAACAAAAATGGCAGCCCGGAGAGGGAGCCGCAAGCAGACATGGATGGGTATACTACTATTTATTTAGTTTTAAATGATTTACAGGGATTGTTACGAAAAAGGTTTTCAAGTTGAAATACCCTAATGTCATGAAACAGGTGGATAAAAAAATTTAAATACCCTCTAAAACATTTCTTACAGTGTAGTTTAAATCACTATACCATATACAAACAAATGGTTTTCATGCCAGAAATACCTCGGTGCAAGTGTGGTGCCGGACAAGAAATGTTTAGTGTAGCCTTTACAGGAGGGAACAAAAGATTGAATACATTAGTAATATATTCACTAATTACTACCTGATCAGTTTGTTTTCCACAGGCCATTTTTGACCTCTTTGCTTTGCAAAAATCAGGAATCTTGGGAGTCTTGTCAGTGTTGCTTTTTTCTCCTGCAAATCACGAGGGACCTTCTCATGACATGAGGTGGTATTCCATGTTTCATGAATGTTAATGACTGCACAATGATTACGTTAAACACATCTATGATATTGTTCACTGCAGTGTACATCACTTCGGGCTTTCCTCCCACATTAAGCTGACACGCTGGAATACTGTTAAAAGCGGTGTAAAACCCAACTCACTCACTCACTCACTCACTGCAGTGTAAGACAAATATGAGTACTCAATCTTATGCGCTGTTTAACACATGCCTTCATCATGGGTGTTTAGATACTGATGGTTCAACCATGACAACGGCATGGCCCGCCTCCTTTTTTCTTCTTTTGTTGTTTAATGCCACAGTGAGCAATAATCCAGCTGCAGTAGAAGTAGTAGTAGTTGAAACGGAGTGTGCGGTATGAGGTGTTGGTGGGGTTGCAGGGGTTGCTATAATTCTTTTGCTTCAGAAATTCGCCTGCTTTTGACTTTAGACTTCCATATCTTTCACATACAGCATCACGGGTAACTCCTTGTTGTCCTTGCATCAGGGGAAGACAGGTTGGTGATGTTTTTGGTTTTGTTTGTCGGTTTGTTTGTTGTTTAACGCCGCACTCAGCAATATTCCAGCTATATGATAGCGGGCTGCAGATAATCGAGTCTGGACCAGACAATCTAGTGATTGACATCATGAGCATCAATCCACGCAATTGGAATATGATGCTATGCACCAACCAAGTCACCACCCAATCCTGTTAGTCGCCTCTTACGACAAGCGTAGTCGCCTTTTACAGGAAGCATGGGTTGCTGAAGACCTATTCTGATCTGGATCTTTACAGGTTGAGTCAGAATAGGTCTTCAGCAACCCATGCTGGTTACAGTACAGTATGACCCCAGAGGTATCAAGCCTCAGTTGGCCATGGTGTTACAGGGGTAGACACAACTGGTCATTTCGGATTAGTGCTTATGGAAAATAACTAGAATTTTAGATAAAACAACCAGATCAAACAACTATTGGACTAGCGGATGTGTCTTTCTCTGGTTTTACATTACTGTCAACCAGGGTTACATTGAGGTGGCCAGTTATAGGAATCTACCTTTATATTTGTGATCAATAATTGATATCAGTTGACCATCAATATTTATCGACAGTGAATGTTGGCAAGCTCTCCGAAGTTTATGACTATGTTTAGCATATGTGTTTCCATTTCTGGTTGAATTATCTTTATTTGAACAGCATATAGACTTTCATAAACAAATCCATTTATTGTTGAATGGGAAAAAAATCAAGGAAGAAAATGTGTTAAATTCATCGAGTTAGTATTTATATATTTTTATTTTATGTTTATGCCATATTTTGGCACACAAGGGGTCAGAAAACAGATCATATGATCTATCAGTGCATCACCATCATGTTTTTACCATGGTTGTCAAGAAGACAAGAGAGCTAAGACTATTTCATTTACCTTAGAATCACTGCATGTAAAAATGTGGTAACATATCATACCTGTCATGGATGTTGATCCTATCTTTTTTCTCTCTGTTTCCCTGCAATACCATATTTGAATATAACTGTATAAACTCATGTTTCTGAGTAACAACAAGAAGGTGTTTATAGCACTAAACCTGCAGTCCAATCACGCATGCCAATTAGTTGAGACATCCTTGTGCTGCCTTTATGTATAGGACTAGTTAAATGAAAACTTGGACGGTTTTTCATTGTATAGTTAGCATATTCTTTTGACATGTTTAAGTGGTTCGGGTTTAAACAATTAAATATAGAATAAATTATATGAAATATTTTACCCATAGGCATGACAATTGTAGCAGGTAGCAACATCTGAAACACCAACACAACATTAGAAGCCAACTGAGTACCTCATTTGCTTGTTTAATTCCAGTTTCCTAGCAACAGAGCAGGGTTGCCTTTGAAAATAGTTTTCAATGTGACTTTGACCTTCTGTCTGCATAACTGAAGTCCTTTGTTTATCAGCTACAACAACTTCTACTCTATTTATATTCCTGTCTTCCATCTCATACTTGTCTCTCTGCTCAGCTGAAATAGGGTCCCCTGGTATCATACCATGGTTTGTGGTCCCATCAATAATGAAAGTAGTCTCAGTATGCTCCTCCCTGGAATAACTGGTAGGATTTAAAGATTCTATCTGTAGGCACTGATTCTTGTAACTGTGGTCAACCAGATCACATGGAACATCCTCACTCCTCCTTGAGTCATGTTCTACGTGGACAATGCTCAGTTCCTGTTCCTTCTGAATCTGCATCCTCTGTACATTAACCTCTTGCTTTTGATCAAAGGTTATCTCATCACTGCTGACTTGCACAGGTTCTACCTGGGACGTGAACAGATCTTGAGATGCCAAATACAGATCCTCATCGATTGCCATGGTGGAGATATCAGCTTCTAGAGGCAAGGGAGGAACTGGGGTTAATTCACATTGTTCCAAGAAGCCAAGGTTGAAAGATGTCTCTGGCATCGCATCCACTACTGATTGTGATCTTTTGGGGCATTCTGAAATGGAACTTCTGAGATTATTTTCCATACAAAGATTTGAAGGTTTTTCGGGTCCAGCTCTGTCCTGAATACTTAAATCATATGCTCTCAGTTGCTTTGTTCTATTAAATTCCTCATGTGATGATGCATCTGATCTTTTCCTTTTTTCCAGTTTTGTCCTTTCTCGGTCATTGGCTGCTAAAAGGCTCATAGCATCAAGGTCATATGTGTGAGCAGGGAATTCATTTTTTGTTGAAGAACTCTGATCAAAACATGTTTTCTGGTTTATGGTAGGGACATTTTCGGCTGCATGTGGCTGCAAGACATGTATTTCACTTTTCTGTGCAAATTCAAAAGGTCTCTTAAAAATATGATCAGTGAAACATGGTGAATCTGGCGGTTCTGTTTTAATGTGGATAGGTTCATCTGTGCTCAGTTGGAAATGGGAACCAGTTCTTTGAGAGTTGATAAGATCGTTGTTACTTCTCAGTCTCTGAATTTGATAGTTGGTGTTGGTCTTAGGTCGACTGGGAGTAGGCTCAGCCTTGAACTGATGAGAATAGAGTGATCGGTAGTATTCATTTGGATCTGAAAGAAACAACAGGTTACTTTTGTCACTAAAGTGCATGAACATACTTGTTATTATAGACATTTCAGTTATCAAAATAGATCAAAATACCAAAATCTCTGTTTTTGTATTTTGATGATCAGTGGATAGGTTTTTTTCCCTGGCTAGATTTGAGGCAGAGGGTTTTCAGATAGGAGTCATTTATAAGACTTGTTCATCAATTATTCAGATTTGATCCTGGACTTTTCTAACTCATATTGATCATGTTAACAGACAGTCTTGACCAAGTTCACTTACAATTCCCATACAATCAGTATGTTCATTTCCCTCTTAATCTTTCTGTGCACAGAGAACACTGTTCACTGGACATACTTGATATTCTGTAAAATAATGTATTGCGGGTCCAAAGAAAACTGGTTGACTCCTTCTTTCATAGAAAATAATTGTATGTTTGATTCGCTGACTGAAAAAATAACTTTTTAAACAAAAATTCCAGGCCCCCTAGAGAATATTAAATGGCTGGTCCCTTACCCTGAGACATACGCTCCTTCTTCATTTGTGACAGCAGGATTTGGTCTCGCATCTTGGTGTACTTCCTCTGTAGTGACAACATCACCCGCTGAGCATCAGGGGACAGGTTGTCGTACCACTGTAGGGGAAGTAACTCCTCACAACAAGACAGCTGCATCCTGAAAAAATATAGTCAGATTTGATTATAATGTAGACCTTCTCAGAGAACAATATTCTGTCCCAAGTGTGCAGCAAATGACTGTTACAATTTTCCCCATTGGAATTAAAATAATTCGCAATTTATGATAATACAAGGATATGAAAGAGCTGTTTTGGGGGGTCTAACCTGAAGGTTTCACCTATCTTATTAGGCTATACAATGTTGGTTTCAATTGAAGCTTCTGGCAACATTGATCTACATGTCTTTAGCCTGTATAAATTTAAATTTGTATGCAATAGTTGTAGAATTCCTATATTTTGCAAAAGTATTGGAAAAGGTGTTGTAACTATCACACCCACATTGAAATATTAAGTAAACAATACTGAAACATGTCTTGGTCAAGTCACCCAGGGCAAAGCGAAAACACGACCAGACTATCCTGCACCAATCTAGACCTGTGTCATATAGGCTTATAGACGCGTTTTTATCATAACATTCAGTTTTATGTGGAAGGTTGCATGAAGTTTGATATCACACTGAAACGAATACCATATAGAAATCTACCCACTCATGAATTTTCAGAAAGTAAGAAGTGAAAAGTTGTCTCAAAGTGCAGTGAAGCAGACGATGTTTACAAGCTCCACTTCCGGTTCCATTCGGTATTTCTCGGGAAAGGTCGGAAACCGATGACGCTCCGAAGAGCGTTGTCACATTTTCCCGTTTTACTCACATCTCGTGTTGGTGGTTGTCTTGAGCACTTTTTAAATTGCAAAGTTTTCGAGGATTATTTATGATGGTTTTTTTCAAAAGTAGAATTAAATAGTTACAGTTGGACACGTTTTATTAGCAGTTATTCTGCTGTACAGTGTATACATCGAATTTTAGCTGAAACAATGGACCCAATTTTGCTTCTGACATTTATAATATAAGATGTATATAGCCTACGCGTAACTTACAGTGAGCAGATGTTTTTGTTTACCAAAGCCCTGTGAAAAGCGGTGAACGCACACAACCATGATCTAAGTGTGTCTTTTCCCCTACTGAAATATACTTGTGAATAAAAATGGACACCCGTGCATACTCATGGTTTTTAAAAGATCTTTTCCCTGCAATCTGCGCCATAATACTTTAGCTGTTCAATTAAAAATAAGCTACGCAGATGTTATCCGATTTCCGAAATACGACTGACAGTGAAAGGAGAACGTTTGACAGCGTGTGGTCAATCATTTAATTCACATGGATATCAAACATACTTTCAAGAATGTAATGTTCAAAGTTATTTTACAACACCAAAGCAGGCGGTGCTATCCTGCTGAGGACAGGGTGTTCAAGTGGTCTAAAGCCTGGATAGTTTTATATCCACATCCTATTGCAGGGATAAATTATAAAGTAATGTAAACGGCTATTTTCGTCCCACGTTAGTTTTAACCCTGGTCGGAAGGTTGGCCCTAGACTAACATTTAGTCTCTGAAATCTTATATTACACAATATCCTTCTTGACTCTAAAATTATTTTTTTTCCCTATGCTGATTTGTGGAATAGAGCTAGCTTGAGCTGGCTAGACTTGCTTTTGTATGCATTTCTAGATTATTATTTTTTCATAAAATAAATATATTCCACGGTCATGGTGCAGGACTAGGTTGGCCACACTGAAGCGACTCCGCATGCAAAGCCATGTCAAGTAGCCTAAACTCAGCACAGAGACTCACCAGAAAAGAATGCTCATGCAATTCAGCAACAGTTCTACCAGTTTCTGATCCTTTGTAAGCCCTGAGCCAGATCGTTGCTATCTGTAGAAGGACGACAGCAACAGCAACAGCAACAATATCTCCAACCGCACATTTGCACTGCCTGTGTCAACCTGCCGCTCTATGTCTTGCGATGGTGAAGTCTGATATGACTTATGGGTGTGTTTTTCATCTTTCACAGTTTCAGCTGAATCCCATGCAAATCGCGCTTTTACCAAATGATAAATGTACGACAATCAAGTTAAATTACAGAGATGCAAAAGCACACATGCTACCTACTCATGGCTTTACGCCGCTTTTAGCAATATTCCAGCAATATCACGGCGGGGGACACCAGAAATGGGCTTCACACATTGTACCCATGTCGGGAATCGAATCCGGGTTTTCGGCGTGACGAGCGAAGCCTATCTTAAATACAACTACTGGTTACAAGCCAGTAAATATATAATAATTGAAGCAGTGATACATTGTCTCTGTGCGTGCGTGCGTGCGTGCATGCATGCATGCATGCATGCATGCATGCATGCATGCATGCATGCATGTATGTATGTATGTATGTATGTATGTATGTATGTATGTATGTATGTATGTATGTATGCAGTTTGTTTTGTTTATCCGCTTGTGTATGTCATGTGCGGTGCGGGTGTAGGTTTGTCTCCCTGTGTGTTCAAGCCACAGTCCATGTCGCGAGCAGACAATGGACGTGACAGCTGAAATCTATAAACGATAACACGAAGGTGGGCTGAAAAGAATTCGATGTTTCTTTCTAATTTTTCTTTCCATTCAATATTGCGAAACGTCTGACGCTAACTATTCGGGGGAAAAAACGTGAAATGTCAGCGGCGTAATTTGAAACGGGCCGAAGAAGGCTGCAAGGAGGAAGAAAGGGAAAACTCCCCAGTCATAGGATCGTTCGAGGTACATGAATTATTACATTATAATTCCAATGTTACAATAACAACCTCCTTTACTCTTTATCGCTGTATTCATATTTCAACATCAGACAGATGTGGTCTTTCAAGAGCCCGAGTTCAAACTCAACACATCTTTGATTTAAACAAACATATTTTAAAACCGTTATTTGTGGAAAAGCCCTAACGCGTTGACATTTAAATCTGGACTGAGTGACTCGGTAGAAGCTATAACGCTTGTCGGCCTGGTTGTTTAACGTTCCGGGGGACCAATTATTACCACGAACAAGTAAAGTGCTTCCTGTGGCTATCAGAAATGAATTGACACCAAATGTGTAGGAGATAAAGCTGTTTTCACTGTAATGACCAGCATATGGATTGAGAAATTTCAATTGTGTTCCGAAAGTTGACTGTTCTGCCCTTCCTATTCACCCGAAATGACTTTGGGATTGAATATTTTAACATATTCAGTTAAAACAAAAAAGAAGCGCGCGAACAAAGGGATTTTACGACGCTTCCTTTCTTGTTGCGACAGGTCCAACCAAGGGGAATAACTCTTTCGACCTTAATCGTCGATGTCACTGTGTGTTTTCTATTGTTCTGCTGGATAGTCACCATATACGAAACATAGGGATTAACTAAATTCATATATCAAGTCTTTCACGTGTAAAGGGGAAGCTAAATTTAAGAAAAGTTTTATATAGTTAAGGCTGTGTGTTTTCTTCTTCCATATGAAACGGAATATCTATTTACTGCATGATGTGAAATGGGGTTTAAAGTCGCGTTTAAGATTATTGCACTGATATGGGACGTGTATTCACGCCTGTGTGTGTTTGTTTGTTGTAAATGTTTGTTGGCTGTTTCTTGTGTGTACAAGTCAGGACTAATGTCGGTTTTATAGTGCTAGCACTCGGAGATACCATACAATAGTGTACTATGGATAAACCCCACTCAGACGCATACTGGCTTGTTTTATTACCTTATTGTCGAGTGTCAGGCAGCGCAACAACAAGTACCATATTTTAACGTATTTTCGTATGACGCGTCCAAGGGTTCGAACCACCAACCTTCCGCTCTCCGGGCAGACGTGCTGTCCACTAAATCACAGAGGCGATCTTCACTGCATGCAAAAGCTGAATGTATAAAAAAACAGAGAGATCGCACATTGTATGTTTGCGCAATTCCCCTCACAAGATGCTAGGCTTCATTACACTGACTACCATTACGTCCGTGCTACAAAAGGAGACATAGGACTAGGATCGCTTTGTGGCAGCAGGCCCAGTTCTTCTCTAATAGTGAGTGAGTTAGTTGGGTTTTACGCCGCTTTTAGCAATATTTCCACACTATCACTAGAAATGGCTTCAAACATTTAACCTTTGTGAGGATTCGAAACTATTTCTTCTGCGTGACGAACACACGCTTTATCTAAGAAAACGTACATCTTTATGGATAAAACTTCTGGTTAATTGCATAGAGCGACGTTTCGAGCCACTTCTAGCTGAAGTGACAACAATCAAATGATGAGAGGCATATATGCATGACATCTTGTTTAATTCATTTAATCCTCACACTTACTGTATATCTGGCTTCATCATCTGTCTGCTATTTGTTATTCACACATTACATTTGGCTTCATACAATTATGTGTATGTCACTTGGTATCTATTACCTGTTGGTGTCAATGTTAATCTGCTGCTAATCACAACATGTCATCCATATATACCTCTCATCACTTGGTTGTTGTCACTCCAGCTTGATAACGGTGTAAGAATCTACATGGAAACGTAGCTATATGCAATAAACCAGAAGCTGTTATCAATAAAGTTGTACGTTTGCTTACTTGCTCCCCAACTTCTTGAATGCCAATAAAACAGCTTGAACGCTTTAAATAACCACAAGGAAATTTGTTGGACTTGGTTCAGTTGTTTATTTCTCTATTTTGAGGAATTACATACAGATTTGTCCCATTAGTGAACATGTACTTTTGAAGCGATTCGAACCCAGGTCGTGTATGAGTGACAGACAAACAAACACAATCCTACTACAGAGCGGGGATGTGTTCAAATAGGCCTGTTGACCAATCCATTTTGAATTAAAAATATTGTCTAAAGCAAGTACATATTGTACATGATTCTGGATAAAAGCATGATTAGGAGGTATGCTTTATAGAAAACCATATTCCTATGATAAGGATTGACACGGGTGTATTTGGGTGAGTCGGGTTTTACGCCACTTTGAACCTTGTCCACGCTGTGTCATATCGATGTGGGAGGCCAGCTTACAGTGAAGGGGGTCTTAGACCTCTACTTTTTTGGTGAGCACGGGTACGGTGCTGACAAAATAAAGTCATAATCAGGGCGAATCTGGGATTCGATCCCCCCACTATCGGATTCTGACAGGACGAAGGGACGCAATTCTGCATAGCAAATATCGGCGCCGTAGGCGACATGGCCCGTGCGGTCTTTAAGCCAACATAGTAAGGCCCGAACCACAAAGCGTCACCAGAACCACCGCCAAACCTATCGTAACTACAGGACCCAAAGCGTGGAGCATATTTATGACTGAAATATCTCGCAAAGTTAATATAAAAAACAAACAATAAGAGATGCTTTGCAACTATTTTAGCAACTTACGACAAGGTATTTGTATGTATATCCTAGTTAAGAAGGTTTTGTCGATCGCCCACTCTTGTCGCCTATTTCGACTATCGCATTTTGTCTGTCGGCAATTCCTATCGCCTATTTTGAGTTATCGCAAGCCTACGCTTAAGTCACAAACGGTCTTCTTTTAGGAGTTCTCTACCAGACAGCAGGTTGTTATCTCCATCAACGGGATTCTTGAAATGGTAAAGAGACTCCCTGGTTCTACACAGAGACCGTATGCTACGCATCACGTAACTCGTAGTCGAAGATGCATGTTCCTTCATCCATGACTCTGCCAGAGAAGCGTTTCCAATTTTCGCGATCTCCCAATTTTT